CCAGAAATCAACCCACACCCCTACAGCCATCTGATCTTTGACAAAGGCACCAAACCTATACACTTGTCTATAGAGTAATATATTTTCTTCTTGATACAATACATTTAGGGCATGGACAGAGTCTTATCCTTCTTTGGAATCTGATCAAAGACCTAGCACTTTTTCTTGACATTTCTCTGTAATCCGAATCAAGGCTTAAGCTTTAGAGGTATAGTGAGAGAAACCAGGAAGACAGTGTATCAGCCAGTTTGGACTTCCCTAACAAAATACAACAGACTTGGTGGTTTAAACAATGGAGATTTACTTCCTCACAGCTCTGGAGACTGAAAGTCCAAGATCAAGGTGCCATCAGGGTAGGTTTCTGGTGAGGTTTCTCTTCCAGGCTTATTGATGGCTGTCTTCTTCTTATGTCCTCAATGACCTTTTCTTTGTGTGCTCTAAAATCTCTTCCTCCGCTTCTTTTTCTTCTTCTTTTTTTTTTGGTGACTGGACAGTACAGGGATTGAACCCTTGACTTTGGTGTTATCAGCACCACACTCCAGCCAACTGAGCAAACCAGCCAACCCTTACTCTTCTTACTAGGACACCAGTCCTATGGGCTTAGGGCCCCATTCTTATGACCTTACCTAAACTTAATTATCTCCTTAAAGGCCCTGTCTCCAAATATAGTCACACTGGGGGTTTGGGCTTCAACACATGAGTTTTGGAAGGCACAATTCAGTTCATAACAGATAGTAACTCTAATGTAATTAAAAATACAAAGAAAATCTAGTTGGGACACCATGTAATGTATTTCAATTACACAAATTATTTTCATAATTTCTATAATTCTCTTTTGTCCATCCATAGTACCATCTTTTCCTTTCCAAGCCAATACATCAGGTATGGGTGACATAATGAATGATGTTTCCATGTTACTGTCAGAAGGATATGCACTTTCAATTGTGTGTCTAGAGGTTGTAGTAATTTGTTCTGAGTAATACGCATTGCCATTACATTTATAAGACAGCAGAGATGTTTAGGTACAGTCTGTGGATGTGATAAGGAGGTAAAGTTAAGTGGCCTGCAGAGCAGTAGAACCTCTTCTCTGCCCCAGTCAAGACATAGTGGTCCTTCCTTGATGACACAGCCCCGGCAGGAGCAGGTGTCATACTTCCCTCGCCTCTCTGAGTCCTCCCTCCTCACTGCACCTGAGTCCTCTCTACTGACACCATGGGTTGCTGTGGTTGTGGTGGCTGTGGTGGCAGCTGCAGTAGTGGCTGTGGTGGCTGTGGCAGCTGCTCCAGCTGCAGGTGCTACCAGGTCAGCTGCTGCTCTGGCTGCTGTCCCTGCTGCCACGGCTGCTGTAGCATCCTTGTGGTCTGCTGCTGCCACTGCTCCTGTGGCTGTGGCTCCTGTGGTTGTGGCTGTGGGAAGGGCTGTTGCAAGAAGTGCAGCTGCCAGAAGCAACGCTGTGCTAGGCAGTGGCCAGGCTCTGCCTCTAGGCTATGAGATGATGGGACCCACTATCTCTGGTTAACGGGACTTTCCTCCTCCCCGTCTTCTTCTCTCTCAGACCTTCCTACCTGGTTATCTCCTGGGCGTCCTGGGAGTTACTCCCTTAAACCCTACCCCCTCTCTTTGAACCAAATGCCTTAAAAATTTCCAAATAGGAGGGGGCCATTACAAAAACATAACTCCAGCTCAATACCTAAAGATGAGTTCATCTCACTGAGCCTGGCCAAAGTGGTCATGATTCTGAGTGCTCTATTTGATGGGTATTCCTGTGACCCTCCAACTTTCTATTTCTGCCTCTCTGTGTCCGCATATGCACTATTTCCCACCTTTTTATCACTATGGTTTCCAGCCACTGTGTAGCTGCTGCCTAATTTTCCTAATAAAGCAAACAACCCCGAGTGATTCTACTTTTTATTCTGCCATGTCAACAAGGTGCATACAAAATTTCTGTCTTAAAGTGAGAGATAAACACGCCACAACAGCAGTGTGAGCACAGGGCCACCTCTGGGGACCTGCCCCTCCCAGTGCCTGTCATTTCTCCATCTTCTGAGAGCCACACCTCCCTTGGATATTCCTATCTCCACCACCAGGCACCTCTTCTTCCAGGGACCCTCTGACCCTCTTACTTGTCAAAAGTGCATCCTGTGCCTCTGCAGCTACGACTGCCTGAAACCGGAGTTTCACCAAGTATGGTTTTTAATATCAGAAAATCATGTCATTGTCTCTCCACGAAACAGACTCCTCTGCATGTCCATAGACAGGATCATTTGCACTGCCGTCATTTCTTTGTATTGCCCTTCTTTCTCAGCACTGCTATCAGTTCTCTTACAGCAGAGTTATGAAATAGCTCGAAGGCAGTGGAAGGCTAACACCAGATAACCCAGAAAGATGTGCTCTAAACATCTCACATTTTCCCACTGGAGACACCCAGTAACAGTTTTGCTTATTCCAAATTTCCTTATGCATTCTAATTAATTATAGCAGAATAGTTCCAGGTATTCTAGTATGTTACATTGATCTTTCCATCTATTTTTTATACCAATGGTACATTGCTTTAATGAATGTAGCTCTGTAATAGGCTTTTGTATCTAGTTACAGAAAGTCCTCTCTCATTTCTTTCTTGTTTTTTAATTATCCATCTATTTTCCTCTCTAGCCACATAAGCTTTAGGATATTCCATCACGGTAATGTGACATCTTTGGACTTTGACTGAAATATCAGAAAAACTCATAGGTTAATTAGAAAGAACTGACATTTTTACAATAATCAGTGTTGTTATCCAGGGAGTGTAGGCATATAATTACAGTTATTTTTAAAACTTTTGTAATGCTAAAGCTTAAGCAAAAGGCATTTGTTTCACTAATAGATTCAATTCACAAATGAGTCTCATATGGGAGACTATTATTGGTTTTCACCTTTATAACCGAGGCAAGCCAAGATGACAGCAGTTAAAATTCTTGATAAGATTTGCACAGTTACTGTGTGCCAGGTGTAGGCTGTGACCTCCCATCCCAAGATCTGTTCTGTCATTACGTCAGGCAGGAACACAGCCGGTGGTGGTTATGGATTTATTTGATATTCACGGTTGATGAATTTGAGAAATTGAAGAAAAGCCTATTTGAATTGCAGTCATTGCAGCATCTCTTATTCTGTCTTGTGGGCCTCCAGGAAATACTTTTAGTTTTTAACACAGGCAATCCAGAGACACACAAGACTTCCCCTGGCAACATTCAAAGAAAGCTAGTATCATGATTGTTAATATTTGTAATAAGACTTACCACAAAACTATGCCACTTTAAAGTTAAGCTTTCATCCCAGAGTTTTCCTACATAGACAGGCTTTGACGTCTTATAAAAATACTTAAGTCAACAGTCATCATGCTATAGTCGTTAAGTAATCACAAATATCTTAATCTATACATTATTTTTCCTATTTTTCACAACAGGAAAATTAAGGAACGAAGAGATAACTGTTTCTTCTAAGTCCTCCACGAGTGGTAGAGAACGCGATGGCTGGAAGACAGGAGTTTTGGAAAACTTACTCCCGGACTACGGTCTGGAGAAAACACAGCTTGATAAATTAGATAATGATAAATTATAATGAAATATTGAATAACCAGCTGATAATACTTCAGCATTTCAGGGTTGAAAAATTTTCCTTTGAAAAGAGATCAGATAATTGGAAATAAAGTAAATGTCCTTTAGATACTAGAAAATGGCTCAGAGCAGGAAGAAAAATCTGTTACATTGATAAAGTCTATAAACTAAATCAGGGGACACTGGTCACTCCCTGTGGCATTTTTCTCAGAAAAGTAGAGACTACTTGTGGTTATTGAGCATGTTGGTAGATTGTAATAACATTGGTCAGAGACTCCCCGACGTTCTAGTTTGCTGAGGCATATGTGCATGTCCTTGAAATTGATGACAATGGTTTCATGGAGCCTTGTAGACGGGTGGCTTTAATGCGGGTAACAGACTTTTTGATGAGGTTCATTGGAATCCATAAAGTATCCTAATTTAGGATAAAACTTAAAAAAATTATTAGTAGTATAAATTTTCTGTTAGAGTGTCCTGTGTCAATAAAATGGACACAGTCTTTCAGTAGGTAGCTATTAATACATTGGAAACAGGTAGACAGATACATGTGTTCTTAAAAATGTGTTATGGTTGGTAAAATTACCTGTGCCCCTTTTATAAAGCAATTATTTTCTTGGTTCTTCTTCGTTAATTTTCCAAATAAAATTTAGAGTCATCTATACTAGTTCTGAAAAAAACAAATGTGTCGTTAATTTTTCTCAGGGATGGGCTTTTAACTCATACATTCATTTAGGGGGACCTGATGTCTCTATATATTTTTTCTTCCTAACTAAACCAAGAACAAGGTAGGCTTCTTTATACGTTTAGTTTAGAACATTTAAGAGTGTTTTTAGGCTTGTTCATAAATGTCTTACGCATTTATTAAATTATTAAATAGAAAGAATATAATTTTAGGTATTTTATCATTTTTGTTCCACTATAAACGGGATCTTTTCCTGTCCTAACATCTTCTAAATGGTTGTTGTTGTAGGAAAGCTATTGGTTTCTTTGCTACTATCTCAGTTTTTAGTTGAGTTGCTGGAGTGTTTTGCCTCCTCCTTTCCAAGTTTTGACTTTGATTCTTTTTTTTTTTTTTTTTAACTTATCTAATTGTGCTGCTAAATGCCTCTAGTACAATAGGTAAAATAATAAGAAGGATAACGCTGGCCATCTTCTCTTTGCTTTTGGTGTAAGTAGGAATATTATTGGTTTCCCCATTAATCGAGTGTATTGGTTTTAGGCTGAGTTTTATTTTCAGTCCCGCAAATGAATTTTGTGATTTGGAGAACAGTATATTTGAAATGTAAATCTATAGTCATCATTCTTTATTCTCAGGAATGCTGCTCAATGCATCCTCTATTGAAGTTTCAAAGGACAGACATGCTCAGATTACTCTTAGCAGAAATGATTAGAAAATTAGAAAGACTCTTTAAAATTTCTGGATACATTTTATTTAGCACAATCTTTGCCATTTAAAAATTAGGTGTTTCATTCCCCCATCACTATTTTCTTAGTTACAATTACTTCTAGAAGCACCTGGAAAGTTCTCCTTAAGTTTTCTTGTTTTAGACAGACATCACACTGATTAGCATTAAAACACTTGTCTGGGGTCCTGGTGGGGAGAAGACTCACTGCGTCTCCCAGGCCACTGGGAATGGATGTGAATGTCATTCTGTGGACACACAGGAGCGTCTGGAGCCATTCCCGAGGTAGAGTTTCAACAACAAAGCTCAGCAGAGCCAAAGTGAAAGATAACCATGAAAAAATATTAAATGGTGATACTATCAAATCATAGCTTGTCAATAATGCTGTGTTATCAGGGTCGAAGAGGCGTCCTTAGAAATGGGACTGAACCTTGTAATTCTCACAGAGAACTGTAAGTTAAACAGAAATATACTTACTAGAAGAGGAAGGAAAATGGATCACATGTCAAAAATATCCTATGTGTTGCCTGCTGGGGTAAAAGCAAACAAGTATCTGAGCTAAGCAACGTGGTCAGTCCAGTTAGCATCTCTGCTCATAAATGAAGAACGTCAACTCCAGGATGGCTGGAGTTTGTCCATGGTTTGTTTCCATGCCATTTGTGTCCTTGTGATCAAAGCCAGAATTTTCCAGTTACTGCTAACACGGGGGTCCCCACCATGGCTTGTTTGATTGTGATGGTGGGCCCTGCCAGCTGCCTCCAGTGTAGCTGGGAACACAGATGTCTGGTCTAAAACTGAGGTTATGTTGTGGTTGTACAAAGGTTCATTGGAATCCATGTCAATTTGTGGCAAAACAATGCTATCTGTCTCAAAATCCCTCATTTTCATCGGGCGACTTTGAAAACCGCGGCAGCAGTTGAAGTAGTGAGTTTAGAGCTGCGTTGACATGACAACATTACCAGGTTCTTCTGGGGGAGGCCCATCTGGATTCCGGCTTGTAACAGGGTTCTGTATTTCCTTTTGGCATTTGGCTGAGCAGATAATATATATGCTTCTCATTAGGAAAATCACAGCAATGACTGCAAAATAACTCCCGTAAACTAAAAACTAGAGAAAAAAGCAAAAACCCAAATAATTAGCCACATATAAAATCTGACTGTCTATGTAATTGATAATACATAATGATGTTGATGGTTTGCTTGGATTATGGGGTAACTGAGACCAGGATGTTAATATAGGTCACTTAGATTGAACAATACTCTTTTCTCCTAAAAATCAAGTATGAAAATGCAAAGGACACAGTGACAAAGAGTCCTTACTTCAAAGCTGGTTGCTTGGGTTCAAATCTTAGTTGCTATCACCAATAGTGAAAACACACTAGATCCCACTGATCTATGTGTCTATGTTCGGAGGCTGGTATAATGCTATATGCAATATTTGCAATAATAAATTTTAGACACTGAGGTTACTTTTTATCTGCCTTATTCAGCTACATATTGTAGTTGCAATTATTGCTGGAAACCTACTTGGTGTTTACAGTATGATAATCACAATACTATAATTAAGGAATTGTGTATTTTAAAATTTGTCTAGCCAAGGCATGTAAGAAATTTAAATATTGCTAGTTGTAATATTTAAAAATTTAATTTTTTAATTAACTGAATTAATTAAAATTCAGTTAAAACCTTGGAGGTTACCAAGTTACATTTTCATCAACTATGTTAGTAGGAAAACAAATATTGCAGCTCACCTGAATGCTGATTGGGAGGTTGAGCCCTCTCTGATCCACTATGATCACAGTCATGATGGTCTGAATGACCAAGGCAATGAAGGTGTTGATTCCAAACACCAAGGCATAGCGTTCCACACTCAGATTAACTGCAATCTGAAATCTATCATGAAAACATGGAAAACCATATTAACCATAACATGCATGCAATTCTTATCTTTAAAAGATAAAGAAAGCAGTGTTTGCTAACAGCATTTCTTGTCTAAATCTCCTCCAGTCTAGACAAACAGGCAGATCAAAGAAAGGAAGTTAAAAAGGTTAGCCAATTAGCTCAGTTGGGTAGAGTGCAGTGTTGTAATGGTCAAGGGCTCAGATCCCTGCATGGGCCAGCTGCCAAAAAAAAAAAAAAAAAGTGCTGTGAAAGGCTGAATTACAGGTAACATGGCAAAACTCCTTCTGTCCAATTTAGTGCTTTCCAGAAATTAAACCTAAATGTTCAAAGCTCTCATAATTTGAGAATATTAGATGTTATTGTATTTTAGATACTGTTTTGCAATGAATTTTTATGAAAATGCAAGCATTACCTTATCTGAGAAATTTCCTGGAGAGTTATTCATTTTATTGCCTACATTGACAGTTTCAAAGTTTAGTAGGTGAATTATTCTTTGGAAGACCCAGACCATGACTGTTTGTACAACTGAGTGAATCTGTAACTAATTTATTTCTAATAAATATATAGATTTAAAAGTCTTATTACAAAACATTTATGAAAGACTGGTAAATGTACATTATTTAAAGTTCTTCCTCAGAATGCAGGTTAAAAGGCTTTGGGTTCTATTCAGAAATAGAATAAATGCAAAGAAATAATGTAATCCTACCTTAAGAAAATCCTCAAATTAAAAACAAAAACAAAAACAAAACTCAAGACATATGAGTCTGATTCATTAAACAGAGAAATTTCAGTGAAAAAAAAAAGAAACTTACCAGGTCAAGGGGTAGGATCTTTGTACCAGCCAGCCACCAAAAACCAAACAAAACTTGCCAACTACTTTCATCTCTTTCCTTTGTCTCATGATCTACTCTCTGGGTTCTTGTACTTCTGCATCTTGTCAATTGTTTATCAAACATTTTTCACAAATTAAAAACCAACAAAATGTGATAAAGCTTTTATCTCCACTTCCTCCATGCAATTTAAAATTCAAATGTTTCTCATCTCTTTGGTTAATACCAAAGCACATTTTGTGTAGTCAACTTTAGCACACTTACATATGAAACCAAATGGTTTTTCATCGTTTTCCAAAAAAGATCTCTGAAAAAAGTAGATGCAAGGATTAAAGGCAACTCTAAATCAGAAATCTTTTTTAGAAAATGATTAAAAACCACCTTGTTCCATATAAGTGAGCTGCTATTTTCTAGTAATCTTTGCATCTACTTTTCTCAGCATCCAACTTTTTATATCATTCCTAAACATGTTTTGTTTCACACAAAAAAGTATGTGCCTAGAGTTACTCAACTAGCCAAATAAAACTAGGGCTGAAATCTAAACCTAAGCATTTAAAACCAGATCTCATCACATCTTGTTAAAGCAAATTGCTGCAAATAAAAAGTCAATACCTGACAATTTATCTTTTGTTTTAAAAATCTATGGAGATTTTTCCTCTTGATGATTTGTCTTAGCAACATTTAGAGGGCAAATAGTTAAATTAAAAAATGGCATAGCTGTGTTTAATTAAATATGAAGTAGTCAACATTTAATATTGCAATTGATTAAAATCCATCTGAAGTTCTCAGGGAAACTTTAGCCAGTGAGCGGCCAGTCTGTATGTGGGATCCGAACCCTCGGTGGGAGCGCCGCCGCGCTCCCAAGCGGCGCACTGTAGCAGTGCGCCACCGGGCCGGCCCCCTCAGGGAAACTTTAGGAATGCAGAAAAGAGAGGAAGATGGTTTTGTTTTAGGAGTGGAACGAATGGGTAATACTTACGCTGCTATGGTTATAAGAAGCATATAGCTGGACTTGAATATCAAATAGCCAGCATAGCATGCCCAGATGTTGGGCGTGTAATGCATGAGAAATAGAGAGCCTGCATTGACCACTGAGAAGATCGCCAGGGCCAGCTCTCCCAGAAGATCCCAGTTGACCTTCACATAACCCACTGCAAAGGCAGCCACAGACCCTGGGAAAAATACATTGAGGAAGAATAAATACACTAACTTTGCATGTGGGAAATATCAACATGCTGTCTTACAAACCCAAGTCTTGGGTAATTTTAGGTAAATTTTAGGTGAATTTAGATAAATGGTTCACATACCAAACTTTGAAATAAAGGCAATTGACAACGAAATGAATAACTCTCCAGAAAATTCCTTACATAGGGTAATGCTTGCATTTTTGTAAAGGCAACTCTAAAAAGGTGAGCACATTGTTTTCACAAAAATTGTGTGATCCACCTTGCTGTGGATTGAATGTCACCCTCAAAAAACTCATTAAAACTTAATCCTCACTGTAACAGTGCTAAGAAGGTGGAAAATTTTATTATGGTAACTGAAAGGCAGGGCCCTTGAGAGGTTATTAGATTGTGAATGAATTGATCATGGAGCAACGGGTGTGGTTCTGATGGCTTTAAAAAGAGAGCAAAGGAGCAGGCTAGCTCTCTCTTGCTCAGCCCATTCTCATCATGTGACACCCTGTGTAGTTGTAGAAGAAGGCCCCCACCAGATGTGTTCCTGGACTTTGGGCTTCCCAGCCTCCAAAACTGTAAGAAATAAATTGTGTTTCTTTATACATTACCCAGTTTCGGGTGTTTTGTTATAAGCAACAGAAAGAGACTATTACACACCTAGATGTGGATTTATCTTTTTCTCAACCACGTTTTCTTCTGGCTTCTCTTTTCACTTCCTATTCTTTTAGCCACTTAATCTTAACACTTTTAATTAGTATCAACTACATACCAGGCCCTGTACTATGCAGAAGGGCCAGAAAGATTCCTAACCACAGCAGTGGAGGGAGACATTAACCCAGTCATTTAATACAAAAGGTTAGAAGAAAAAAGGATGAAATACATGCTTTGGGACTATACCTGGCCTCTCTATTTGCCTTTCCTTTATCATTTTTTATTCTTAGTTTTTTTTTTTTCAGTGATGGAAACCAGATATGTCAGATTGAATTGTCAGTTTTACTCTTTATTATTAACTTTTGTTAATAATTATTAATCTTATTCCTATTCTCCACCTCAAAGTCTTCAAGATTTGCCCTAATTAACTTAAGGCTCTTTGGGTGAAAAGACCTATATTGATTTACAGAGTTTAAGATGTTGAATAATTGACAGTAATTAGGGTTAGTAATTATTTACCGACCTTTGATTAATTAACTTTCTACACGTGATCTAGGAAAGAGGCATGACTACAAAGGAAATAAAATTATTTCTCCCCAGGAATTTAAAATGGAGAAGCAACAATTTCAGTGAACCAGCACAGTCCTGGTTGCCAGGAGTCAAAGTGAATCACCTAAAAGGGAGACAATAATAAAACGTGGGTTTTCTGAAACTTTGTGTAAATGAGGGTGTGGAAAATTCCCACTTCCTAGCAAATATTTTCAAAGTCCCATTTGACATTTAACTCTCATTGACTAGGATATAAATATTTATTGTAGAGTAAACTTCAAAGGCAGATTTCTCTCTGATATTAGAATCCTGACTTTCATATCTCTTCCACCAAAATTTAAATCTCCAAAGAAAGCAACTTTTGAAAATTGTTGGTGTATAGCCTAGAATTGTTAAAGGTGAGGGCTAGCTAAGATCAAATCCTTTATTAACATGACTCTCCCAGTGACAATTTAGAAGCATTAATTTATTTGCTAAACTAATTAGTAAAAACCCTTTACTTTTTCTTTTTGGTATTAAAAACAATCCTGAAAGAACAGGACACATTGTTAATACTTGTCTTAATGATGAAATGGAATCTCAGGGATTCAACCAGAGTTTGGAGCTAAGCCCTGAGCTCTTGAGTTACTGGTTGTAACTGTAACACATCAAATAGAAGGTTATGGTACTCTTATTTTTCCAGTACTTTCCATTCTTGAAAAAAATTATGCCTACTGTAAAGAAGTTTAGGACCCGGAGAAAAGAACTTAAAAGAGTAACCCATCAAAGAAGGAAAAAGCACCATTTACTTACCTCCAAACGTTGCAAGGGCTTCCACTGCCCCATTATAGATGACAGAATCCTGGGATGGTGCCTTGTAATCCCACAGGATTTGAACATAGTTCAAAATTTGGTTAAAACCTGCTGTGGAAAAAGCCCACCACAAGGACCAGTAAAAAAGACGCTTGGAGGCGTAGCACTCCTTCAAATCTTGGAACCACTGCACAAAAACTCTCAAAACCACCTTTTTTAGCTTTGAGCTGCTCAGATGGCCATTCTCCAGGTTCTCTGCAGTGGTGGGTGTTTCCAAAGTGGGTTTCTCCTCTTCACAGCCTGGCGCTTCCCCCTTGAGAGGTTCCTCCAGCACTGTGCTTGTGCTTAGTGACTTCATTTCTTTGCTGGGTTTTGCATGAAAGAACATGCTCTTCTGGGGCATGGGTAGAAAAAGTGAGAAAAGGAAGGCCACGCAGACAGAGGCCAAAGATATGACGTTGAGGTAAAAGTACGATAGGTTCGCCAGGGAGACCAGGAGTTGGGCCAGCACCGAGGCTGCGGTGTAGGCGACCAGCGTGACACTCCTACAGTAGCCGCTCACTCTCTGATAGTGCTCGGGGCTGACCACGCTGTAGATGTAGGCATAGTAGGCCACCTCGGTGGCGGTGACCATCCCATAGAAGAACTCCACAACCTGCATGGTCTTGACTCCTTGGCCAAACAAGAGCAGCAGCCAGGTAATGATGAAGCTAATCCCTTGTAAGATGATGACTGGCTTGTAGCGGACGTAATCGGTGATGACAAACACAGGCAGCAGCAGGGCCAAGTAAGAGTAGGTCCAAACAGGGAGGATCTCATTGGTGATCTGAGAAGGTGACAAGTAATGTGACCGTGAATGTACTCCTGACTAAGGCACATGTGGTTTGTAGTTCAAGTTCTGCATCCCACTGGATATTCTTCATATTATGGAAAAACATGATAGAATACTGATTTTCAAGGAAACCACTAAGAAAAGATAGTCCCTTTCCCCACCGAAAAAACAAAAACAAACCAACTTATATATTAAGGTGTACCCCAGCAACAGAAGCATATATCGGATCAATACGCCATCTGAACTATACATTAAAGTTAAATAGTATGTACAGTTGAGTAAATTATTTAAAAACTGTTTAGACACTTCTAAGTTTCTCAGGTTCTTAAAATAGGAAAAGAGTAAATACTCATATCTTTGATGAAGTACGGAGCAGGAGCGCATATGTATTTCTTCCCTAAACAAATGTGCTTGGTTCACAACTCTTTTCCCTCAAAATTCCACTAATCTGTCTGTGCTTCCTCAATGCTGCCTCATTTTTTTCTTTTTTGGTTTTAAGTCCAAATTATTTTTATTTTAAATAACACAGTGAAGCTGAGGGAATTTAACTATACTTCACAATTTAACTTTTGGCCCATAGTAACATCATAAACTGAATTATCAAAGAAATCTGGCCTCAGGTTAAAATGGGTCACCTCATGAATTTAGTCAGAAATGCATGGGACCTCAGTTCTCACAGACAGAAAGGAAGGACCTGTTGATCTCTGGGGCCTGACGGTGAGTGCAGCAGTCTTCTGCATCACTGCACTTGCCCTCATCACTGACATTTGGCTCCACTGAGGCTGCTGTAGGAAGCAGCAGAACACAGAACAAAGGCCAGTGTGACTGAGCTGCACCTGGGACGGAGGCTCCACTGACGGTGGGTGCAGAAGCAGACCCCAGTGGGTTCATGGAGTGGATTCTAGACTCTTATCTGTCCTGTGTATTGTCTTAATTGTGGCATGCTTCAGCCTGGGAAACTCTGAAACAGACTGGTCCCAAAGTCACTACAGAGCAACCTTGCCTTCCTGTCCTAGGCATCTCACCACCAATCAAACTGGCCCCAATTAGCCTTTTAGGTGAAGCCACACACTCTATACTGTGTTTTCATGGCTATGGATGGATCCAGCTGGATCAGTGCATCCTCTAGTTGCACTTGTTACAAGAAAAGAAGTGGATCTATTAAGTAAGAGAATTTGGCTTCTGGGGAAGGAGTGAAAGGGTGGAAGATAGAGCTGTTAATGCCTCACCTGTTGGTAAATAGTTTTTCAAAACTGAGTTAAGCTTCCTAAAGAAATACTACAATTCTTTGTGAGATCCTGCTTCTACCTCAGCAGCCTGACAGTTTATTAGGTCTAGATCTCATGCCTGGCAGCCATTTTATTTTAGGATTAGTATAATAGGATCAATGAAGGCCTGAAAGGTTCCCAGGCATTAAGAGTAATGTTGGGACTCTACAAAAAGTTAAATTATTTATGACACATGGAATGTGTTTGGGCTGCCCATATTTGCAAGTGTGAGGAGGAAAGAGTAGTTTGAACAGTTCTATTCCGTGACAAATATGAGGGCACTTCAGAAAGTTCATGGAAAGATTCATTTTATCTTTTAATTCTATTTTTCCATGAACTTTTTGAAGTGCCCCTGTACTATGAAAATGGGACTCACTGAGGTCAGTGTGTTCATTTTATTTCAAGTTGAATGAAGCCCCGATTCTATGTCCTTGCTCAAATCCTGTAGAATTAAGCCACATTAAGATATGTGTGTTTGTTAACTTACCTCTGCACTGGTCAGGTTTTTACTTGGTTCAGACAAATATGGGATGAGGAATGGTTCTGACGGTCTCATCATGGAGAAAAATCCAAACAAGCAAAGGATCACAGTGGGATAAATCCAGGAATTGCTCAGTGAAGGTCTGAAACAATCCATGGCTGATCAGACAGAAACAAAGCAAAATTAAGTGACATTTATTCTTTTGCGCGTCTTAGATATAATTAAAAACTGGTTATTTCTAAATGTTTTATGAATGGGTAACGTTTCATCCATCTGCAGCTAAAATGGAAAGGTGTTTCAAATATTCCTTAGGTGAGTCAGGCAAGCCCTCCTTTGTCAATGAACTTCTTATTCATTATTGCTGGGGATAGAGTCATATTTCTTTAGTTTTCTCCATCACAAACATGGTAATGAGTAGCTATTAATAAGTGACAGAGGAAGAGTCAACAAATGCTTGAAAGTGACTAAAACACTGGCTAGTAAATTGTTGGTGTACATGCAGCAGGTGAAGCACTCCCAAGACAACACAGACTGAATTGATCAGAACTTCTTATCTGCCCACTACTTTTTTGCACTGATTCTGAAATCTTTAACACACCAAATGGCAATTGTTTATTTACACATTGATAGAGTTTGGATGTGTTGTCCCCACCAAAACTCACGTGGAAATTTGATCCCCAATGTGGCAGTGTTGGAAACTGATTGAGTCATGGGGGCGGATCCCTCATGAATGGGTTCATGCTCTCCCTGGGGGCGGGGGGATTAATGAGTGAGTTCTCGCTCTATTAGTTCCCGCCAGAGATCGTTGCTTAAAAAGACCCTGGCGCCATCTCTCTCTCTCTCTCATATTTCTGTTGTAGCAACACAAAATGGACTAAGACACACATTTACCTCTCCATTGGACCATCCCTTGCCTAGCACTGTGCTGGACAGATAACAGACATTCACGATATTTCTGTTAGATATCTAAGCTTTTGGGAATTTATAGTTCTTCAGTTAAAAAAATTAAACCGGATAAAGACCTGAATTACCATCTTTTCTATATTTCCCCCAAATTCTCAGGTGAGTATATGGAAGATCCAAGATATTCAACAACTGGCTTCAAACCACTTGGTCAAGATTTGAATCCAGGTCTCCCTTAACCCACTCCACCCTGCCTCATTCTGGTGGCCCTTCTCCCCCTGCTGCTAGGATTGACCTAATGACAACCTCTCTGCACAGTGAGTGAAGAAAGTGTTTTTGTAGGGCTGCTGGTTAGCTCAGTTGGTTACCACGTGGTGCTGATAACACCAAAGTCCAGGGTTCGATCCCTGTACCAGCCAGCTGCCAAGAAAAAAAAAAAAAAAAGTTTATATCAACACATTCATACTAACAATCATGCTTAATATATAGAGCTTCCAGGGGCAATTAGAATTTGAAAGTAGGCCAGAGAGAAGGAAGTGGCTGCTCCTCTCAGAAGTGCAAGTCACCTGGGTCTAATTCTAGGTATCCAGGTGGAGGAACTTCGCTAGGGGCTAGGGGGGAGGGGAGGACCTACTGGGTCACACCAGGCTTGCCACTCACGTTGCACTTTCACAGGGTGGCCTGGGACACCTGCATAATTCTTCTCAAGTTAAGTAAGGTTTTCTTTTATGTCAACAAAGCCCCTGATTAAGCAGGACAGAGACAATGGTGATCAGATTTTGGAATGGGGATTACTACAATAGTAAGCAATGCAAACAATGCTAACAATGTGAAAACTCTGCCAAGGGCAAGCGAGGGTTGACTGTCCTCCACCTATTCTGTAGTCCCAGAAAGCACGGGCTTTCTCTTCTTCCTGGGGTGCTGCTGTGGTTGCTGGGGCCTTATTTCTTTATTAATGGTCTTACAGAAAAGGCCATCCTGGGTAGGTCTGGTCATCTTTTGAAGGATGGTCTTGATGGGGTGTTATCTGCTGACTCTACACCTAGAACATTCTCTCCATCTATGCTCACCATGACTTTTTTCACTAACTCCAAGTCATCATCTTCTCCATGCATCTCAGAGACCTAAGACTATGCCCATGGTCTTGGAGCTGCTAAAAGCTCCCTGGATGACAAGGGTACTTCAAAAAGTTTGTGAAAAAATAGAATTTAAAGATAATACAAATCCATGAACTTTCCATGAACTTTTTGAAGTGCCCTTGTATCTGTCTCTCTGCTTCTTTATGGTCTAATCCTGCTACCTAACTCGATTTACTTGGGAAAGTCAAGCAGAAAGAAAGACAGTATATGCTCCACTCAAGTCTAAGCCCCAGTACGGTGGCCGCATTTTGTCTGGTTCACTGCTCTAGCCTGAGTGCTTAGAATAAGAATAGGGCCCGACACACAGAAAGCTCTCAAGAAAGATGCTGAACGAACTGAATAAACAAGCAACTGCTGCCTGCTTGGAGAAGGGCGGGGATGGAGAAAAAGAGGTATCAGAATCAGGCAAGAGTCCAGGACTTGGGGAAGGCGGTTTTGCAGAAGGACAGGGGTGAGCGTCAAGCCTCGCCACTGAGAATAAATGCAAGTGCGGTGTGGTTTTCTTGAGTGCACTTCACTTCCCAGCTGCATCAGGTAAATAAAGGCCAGGGAGGTCCTCAACTTTACACGTGCCTTACCTCAGTTGTTCCTCTGTAAAATGGGATAACAATGTGGTTACTGCCAAGATCATCGCCTCTCCTACTAGAGGAGGTTGTAGCTAATGGTCCCTCTAATGCCTGGAAGGCATTACATATTGGTCATCAACTTTTATTTTTACTCTTGTCATTAAGGAGATGCTGTTCTTTCCTGTCATCATGACTTTGACTATGACAATCAAATTACTTATGCAATCTCTTTCTATAATGTTTACATTTGGAAAATTATTTTAATTTTTCTTTGGCCATTCTGTGAGGTGGATAGAGATGGTGTTGTCCTCATTTTATAGATGGGGAAACAGAGGTGGATAGAGATGGTGTTGTCCTCATTTTATAGATGGGGAAACAGAGGGCCTGAGGCAATAAAATTTGGGCTAGTTTTCACATTTAACAAACATCAGAGCTTGGACTTGGACTCAATTTTTCTAATTCCAAGTTCAGTAACCTTTCCTCTTATACCATGTTGAGAGAGCCTGGCTATATCATCAAAACTGAAATTCCAGTTTATTTTAGAATAGCGTGTTTCAAATCATGAAGTCAAAGAAATGTAGTGAGTTGCAAACGGAACTTAAAAAGAAAAACGTTGCAAAAATATTAAATGTCAGAGTGCATTGAAGAATAAGGCTAAGTTTTTGTCTGAAACTTTTGTTTGGGTTGGTAATATACACATTGTGATCACATGTATACTACCTCACTGCAGGACACAATCACTGGGTTACAAGTTGCAGAAGAGAGAATAGGACCAAATATACACGTCCTTCATAAGCATGTCATCACAGAACACATGTGTTGTCTGGGAGGGCCACAGCCTTCACAGCATAGCACCGTTCTGGAACAGACTGTTCTTTTACCATTTACCATTCCATTTTGACTCTTAAAAAGTACTCTAGGGGCCCACCTGTGGCTCACTCGGTAGAGTGCGGTGTTGATAACACCAAGGCCACGGGTTCGGATCCCATATAGGGATGGCCGGTTTGCTCACTGGCTGAGCGTGGTGCTGACAACACCAAGCCAAGGGTTGAGATCCCCTTACCGGTCATCTTTAAAAAAAAAAAAAAAAAAAAAGTACTCTAAACTTCTCTGTGCTGCACTGCCTCTAACTTGAGGACATGAATTGGCTTGATTTTCTGACTTGGCACTTCTGAAAGCAAGATGTTTACCTTTCCCTTTCATTCTGCACTTTCCAAATAAGATAATTATTTTAAAAGTTGCTCCTGTGGCAGTAAACCTCACACATTACTCATAAGTCCCATCACCATTTTTAAAAAAGGTACAAGAACACTATGTAAACAGTAGATTAAAAAAAAAAAAAAAGTCGTTTCCCAAACAAAGGTCAGCCAATCAAGCTACCACGACTTGAAACATTCAGTGAAGATGCCGGAAGTAGCAAGAAAGGCTGAATTCACGGCTGCTCCTTCTGGCAGGGACTCGGAGCAGCTAAATCTACAACAGAGCTTACCTTGGTGAGCTTGGATGTGTAGGAAAGATCTTGCAGATGCAGAACACAAGTTAGCAACAGATAGAAGAGGTGAGCCCTGTGCTCTGGCCCCGGCTCCACTTCTGAGACATGGTGGCCGCAGGCAGGTCACAGTCTCCCTGCTCCACCCACCAGCAGCCCAGAGAGCACCTGCCTCTGACCCAGTTGCAGCTCACCACGTGGGCCCTGGAGGAACGGCAGTGGGTACTGTCGGGTTACACAACAGAGACGCTCACCCAGCCAGCATGTGTGACCTTGAATGAGCCCCCAGTACCACCAACAGCTTTGCTTGGAAGTGACCATCTAAATTACCTTGGAGATGATGCATTCCTTTCTCTTTTGCTGGTAGGAGAATAAATATTTTTACCTTATGAAAAAAGTTGCTGCTGTCCCACCAGGGGACCCTTCAGTATTGTACTGTTAAGTCTCCAACTTCTCTCAGTCTCTATTTTGGGCCATTTCCACCTATTCCACATAAGGCCTGCTAAACAAAAATTACAGGAGGCCATTGTTTTGGACTAAGTTCCTGCACTAGGTCCCAAAAGACCAGACTAAAAATCAAAATGGAGTCACCCCTGCTAAGTCACTTAGACTGGTCAGAACTTCTGAGAAGTCAGGAGAAAGATAACAGCCAATTTCCTGAACAGGCCAGTGTAAATCTTCAATAGGGATGATAGTGAAGTTCTCTCTGCTTTAATCTTCACACAAAAGAGACAGCCTGAAGTAACCCGATATTATTTTTCTATTATTCTGTCTTCCTGTCCCCACCTTACACAGAAAGTAACTTTGAAGTGATCCATCTGCCTTTTGTTCTTTGTTTCTGCTTTCTTTTGCCTTTTTCTGTCTATAAAACCAACGTCCTCTGCTTGGCTCATTGGAACCCTTATTGTTTTTATAGAATAATGCGTTTCCCAATTCTAGAATCATGATAAAGCCAAGGGAGATCTTCAATTAAATTTGCTGTAATTTAGTCCTTTGCTGGGCTACATCTCTGACTACTGCTTCCCCTTCCTTGGGGACATGGGGTGCTGTAGCCTTCTGAA